ATGGATCTGGGGCTACTAGTTTCCTAAGTGTTCCTTGATTGCCAAGACTATTTTATTGAGCAGAATGATGTTATTTTGCTGGTGCAAACGGGCAGTGGGAATTTCTTCATTGGACCCTCACGAAGGCCAGAGTTTTGCATCCTTTGAGGACTCATAAAATAAGCAACTTGCAGGAGATTATTCCAGGTGTTGTTAATGTAATTGTTTTAGGTTTTTTTAAATAAAGAAGGGGAGGAAAAAAAAAATCAAAGAAAAGTTTCTGATTGCTGCAGTGAGGTCGCCATACCCAGAGGACAAGTGGGCTAAAATGCACATAATACGTATTTTATTCTCTGTTAAATTAAACTTCCTGAAAAGATAGATAGGGCAGGGAAAGAGTCTCCATACAATAATTAGGCCTAACTAGAGGATCCACCTCCATCTAAGACACTTCAATCTAAAATGGTCATCTCTACTCTTTGTTCACAAAAGTGAAACGTGGCAAGTTCAGTCATAAAGAACAGCAACTCACCCTGAGCTCTCTGTCTCCTCAGAGGACAAACCAAGCACAAACGAAACCAGTAAAGCTCAGTGACAAACACGCAAGTTGATGACACCAGAAATGATGACATTCCCTTCTTTCACCTTACCCTGGCAGTCAGAATTTGCTGGATGCACTTCCCTGCTCTCCAACTCTGAGGAACAACAACTGCCTTTTAAACAATGCAGGGCACTGCTTTTGTCTGGGGAGCTGCTAATAGAAGCTTTCCTCCTCACACAGGACTCAGCAGGCTCAAAATCAGTGACATTTTAAGTGGAACAATTCTTTCATCATGGGGCTGATATTTGGCTGCCGTTCTGGTTCCCTCCCTTGTAAGGCACCAGCAAGAGGGAAGGGCAGGGAACACGTTACGCAACTGCTCATTGGAGAAGGTAATTAAAACAAATTTTAAGAAATAAGGCTGGAATAGACCCTTTTCCAACGTACAAAGCAAGACAAAAGGAACCTGGTGTCGTTGGTCTACGCCTGTGTTTCTGCCTGGCTGATTTTTAAAAAGGGAATTTCTGCTGAAAGGAAAGGGGTTTTTTCCTCGGTTTTTATGGGAGGAGGCCACACCTGCCCTTTGTGGGGGTTCCCAGTGATCCTGAAGGAAGCTCATGGCACAGCACAAGTGTCCTAGAGGAGCTGTGTCACTGAGCTGCCCCAGGGACAGGGGCCAGGAGAGTCCCCCAGGCACACACAGCTCCCCACCCATAACAAGCTGCTGCTGTCAAGCCCCTTCCCTCTGTTGTTTCTGCCCTTCTCAGAAGCTGCTTCAGGCTGGTCATGTCTTACTGAAGTGATGACTTTCATTGCCTCCCCGTTCCATACACTCCTTGTCTTTGTAACTCCTGGGGCTCAGCACGCCCCAACATCTTCATTTTAGCTGCACCCCGTTTAATCCCAACCGTGTTTCTCATGACAATTATTCTGCTCCCAAAAAGGGCCTTCAACCAAGGACAGCTTCCCGGTAAGGTCCACACTTGACTCAAGTTTTTCCAAGTGTTGGTCTGCTGCAAGGAGGTTTAATTGCTAAAACACCTTGGCATGTTTTATAAACGCCTGACTTCATGTGACATCACCCTCAGTACTCCAGAGAATTTGGAACAGCTGTTTTTATTACACACAGGAGGAAAAAAAAGGTTTCACAACCTTTTATCTGTTCAGAGATAACAAAAAGGTGTGGGGGTTTTTTTGTTTGTTTGTTTTTTGTGGGAGGAAATGAAGGAATCTCAACATTCCAAGATCTTTGCTAAGACTGGAGTCCCTCTACAGCATGCCAGTGACCACAGGCTCCAAGCCTGGAACACAAGAGACACAGCTAATATAAGCTGGAACACAATCAACAGCCTTCCTCTCCCATATAGATCCAAATTATCCCTTTACTTCCTCCCTCCCATTCATTCTGCCACCTCAGATAACCTCCATCTGTTTGCACAACCTGCCAAACTGTTACTTAATATTGTCTGTTCCCTGTTACTAAAAGGTGAAGAGCTGGCCCTCTTTTTACTGCTTCAGGACATTCTCACTCTTGTGTAACCCCATAAACCCAGGCTACCACTCTAATCAAACCCTGCTCCCTTTTATCAGGGAAAATATAAAGTCAGCTGCTCCTTAGACAATCAAAACCTCACACCAGCTGCCTCCCAAAGTCAGTTTATTACACTACAGTTCCAGGTCTCTGCTTCCTTCACCTTCCAGTCAGTTGTAACTCTCCTAAAGCCACCTGTCAGCAACAAATGGGAACTTTGTAGGCACAAATATTAAAGACACACAGCACAAAGTCTCAACTGTAGGTTTGGAACCAGAAAGTAAAAGTTGATGCCTACATTACTGAGAAATCAGAAAATATTTGAAGCCTCGGGATTAATGATTCTCTCCTGGTCCACTGTTTCCCTGAGCTTTTTTAATCTCTGCAGAGTACTAAGAGAGATATCAATGGCAGCCTCCCAAGATTACCTGATTTCCCAAGTAAAAGGCTGTGACAGCTGCCCATTTTAATGCTTCCCTTGCTGATCAAATTATCTGTGACAAGGGAAGCAAGTTTTCCTTGATAATTTATTTATCCCTCCAGTTCCTAATTTGTTTTCATCACTAAAGAAAAACTTTCCCATGCAGGAGCAGTGGGACTGCCAGAAGTTACTCTGTAGTTTTTGACCACAGAGCTGCAGGATTTTCTGTATCCATCAAAGTATTTACTCTTCTGCATTTGACAATTTAATTTCTGATGCTTCAAGACAAAGTCCACCACACAAATTCACACTGGGAATTAACACTTGCCTGAGGTCACACCCCATAACATTAGATTGGGTTACCCTCAGTGTAACACCTTTTCTTTTTTGGGTGTGTGTTATTTAATCACCAGACTTAGAAAAATTCTGCACCAACCCTTCTTGAAGAATCAGACCTCAGGAATTCATCAAGCTCCCGTTTCCCAGCCACTGTAATGCAATTACTGCTGGTGGCAGGTCTGCTCTAAGTGCAGCTGCATGTTGGACTGAGCAACAAGAGGAGATTAAATTATTTTGTGGACAATTGCACGTTTGATTTATGTCAACTGCCATCACCCTAAGACACATAAAGCCTCTTTCAGGGGGACTAAAAGCAAACCATTTACCATCTAATATCAGCTTAGCAGGCTTTGTGCTGATGAATGCTGCATTCAGAGGAGCAATCCTGCTCATTGCACATCTACCCTGCATCTCCAGGAATACAAATATCAGAGTTTATCAACTGCCTTCACTTCTTAACCAACTCTCAGCTGAAACTCAGTGGGAAGAACATATTAATTATAAAAAGCACGGACTGAGGGAAAGCTGAATTAATTAATGATGGGGCGTGGGTCTGTTGATTGGGTTTTTTTTAAGAAAGACTTTCTGCAATAAAAAAACCCAACACCCAAACAAACCATGAAGAAATAAAGCATGACACCTGCCCACTGCAAATATTTGCTTCTGAATTCTATTTAGCTACTGCCTGGGGGGGGGGGGGGGAGGTTGTTTTCTCCTGAAGCGTTTGAGACATAAATGTTTCATTTTAGCATTTTTTTTTCCTCAGCTCTGTGAAACAATAACATTTAAAGTGAACACGGAGCGTGCCTTGTGCAAGGTGAAAAACAAACGAGCTCGTTTCAGAGAGCCACGCAAACCTGCCTTCTCCTGCCCAAGACACTTTTTAACAACGAGCAGGAAAACATGTAGCACCGAAGGTAAAACCGCCTCGATTCTACCAGGTACAATGACAGGTTTCTCACACTAAAGGAGGGTAGGTGGTCACTGCTCATCAGCCCATTCCGGTTCAAATAAAGGTTGATACTCCGAGGACAAGGAATGAAAACAGCTTTTCAGATTTCTCTGTATATCCAGCCGCCTTCTACGGAACGGGCACAACAACTCAGCGAGATTTATTAGCGCCATAAACACTCCCAAACGAGATCGCTGTGCTTCGAGTGACTTTAAAAAGCCGCCACCAAAACACTGAATCAGCGCACCTGACCGAGCCCAGCATCCTTGGGCAACAAAAACTCCAGCGAGGAGCATGGGAAAAGCAAACCAGCAACACGGATATACCCCAGCAAATGCCCCTCCAGGAAACTCGTCTGGCTTTCCAATCAAACTTTTTTCAGCGCTGCTTTCTCTCGAGAAGCTCCAGCAAGGGTGATTTGCTCCCAGCCCGGGTGTGGCGGGAGGGACCAGCGGCGGCACGCGTGGGGAACTCCCGCGTTCTCCACGCTCCAGGTCAATTAAAAACCAAACAAAAAACCGCGAGACCTCTCTCGGTTCTGAGCGTTTCACTTTTCTCTCATTCCATAACAACTCTCCAAAGACACAGAGCACCAGCCGGACCCCCCGGACCCACAGGGAGGGGCCCCCAATCCCAAACTCCTTTAGCTCGAGGAGGGGCGGGGGGGGAAACGCTTGGGATTTGTTCTTCCCCGAGTGGAAACTCGCGAAGGTCCCGTTTGCTTTCCTAAGCGCATTACGGGGGATAATTCGGTCCCTCCATCTCTCTATTTTTAACGAGGGCAGCACACGGAGCTTTTTTTAAAGCCAGAGGAGCCACGTTCTGTACCACGGGGCACAGCCTCACCGAGAGCCCCCGGGAGGGGTCCCCGACCCGCCGGGGGATGGAGCCTAAGGAGTCTAAGGAGCCCCGGGTCAGTGGCAGCCTCTCAACCCCCGAGGGTACAGGGGCAAGTTACAAAAGTCACCGGGGGGGAGGGGGGGGGAGGAAGGGCAGAGGGACAACCCACCCTGAGACAGCGGGACGAACCCCCTCCGGGCTGAGCCGCCCTCCCTCAGGCTCCGTGGCGATGGCTGCTCCTGCTGCCTCACGGCGCGGGGGGAGGCAGGAGGGGAGGCAGAGCGGAGGAAATCGGCGCTCTCCAGCAGCCGGGCGGCGAGGCAGTCTGCCCGCCGGGAGCAGCGTTCCCGTTCCCGTCTCCGCTGTCCCCGCTGTCCCGGCTCCCCTCAGCACTCACCTGGCCCCGGTCCGCGCGCGGCGCCGCCCCCGCGCTCAATGGCAGCGGGCGGGCCCCGCCGGGGACGCTGTTTACCCGCCGGTTCTCGCGAGAGCTGCGCACACGCGCGCGCGCCCCGGCGCCGCGCCGCGATTGGGCAGCCCCCCGGCGCGCGAGACCACGCCCCGCCCGGCCACGCCCCCCTCCCCTCAGGGCCGTCCCGCCCTTTCCACGCCCCGTGGAGTGTCCGTGGAGCGTCGGGAGCGGCATCCCGGGATCATCTGCGAACACCTCAGCCCAGTGAGGAAACTCCATTACCTCTCTGAGCAATCTGTTCAGGGCTGGGTCACTGCACAGCAAAGAAGTTCTTCCTCATGTCCAGCTGGAACTTGCTGGGATCAGTTCCTGCCCGTTCCTCCTGTGCCATTGCTGGGCCCCCCGAGCAGAGCCTGGGCCATCCTCTGCCCCCTCCCTGCAGCCCCTGACACACATGGATGGGGTCCCCTCTCAGTGTCTGCTCTGGAGGCTGAACAGCCCCAGCTCCCTCAGCCTTTCCCCCTCAGGGAGATGCTCCAGTCCCTGAATCAGCTCCGCAGCCTCCGCTGGACCCGCTCCAGGAGCTCCACGTCCCTCCTGTCCTGAGGAGCCCAGGACTGGACACAGCACTCCAGATGTGTCTCACAGGGCTGAGCAGAGGGGCAGGATCACCCCCCTCCACCTGCTGGCAATGCTCTTCCCAGTGCCCCCAGAATTCCATCTCTCCAGCAGAAACCTCGGCACTCAGTCCCCTCTGGCTGTGGGGACTCGCTGAGGGGCTTGTGGGTGTGAGAGGTCTCACAGTCAGGAGTTAAAGTGGCCTCAGTAGGTGCTCAAACACAAAACAGCAGAATTAAGTGGAAACATCGTATTAGGAGGCTTTTGAATTGCTGGAGCTGTCCTGTGCAGTGCCAGGGCTCGGAATTCCATGGTCCTCATGAGTCCTTTCCACCTCAGGATATCCCATCACTCTCTGATTTACCTCCTTCTGTGCCCCTGCCAAAGTACAGAGGTGAGGATGAAAACCCTGCTGTGGTTTTAGTGCTACCTGAGCAGAAACCAGAGCAGCAGCTCTGATAGGGAAAGCTGTCATCCCAGGGATGCAGTGGTATGGACGCCTTGCAAACCCAGCTGCAGAAAATCAGTAGACAAAGAAGGCAAATCTGGGAGCTCGGATTGGAAGAATGACAAAATACAAGCCAATTTCTGCTTCTCTCACAGCACGGAGCGTGTGGAAGGGAGGGAAAGGTTGTCCTGGTGTCATCGCTTGGCTTGAGGAGAGTTGCTGATGGAGGAGGACTTGCTTGGCAGACACACTGGATTTGTTTGCCCTCATTAGTCTTTGTCATGGCTAGGCTTCGCGAACGAAGATTTGAGGGGCTCTACCCACGCCTGCTACAAGCGCGCTGATGGCTAAAAAGGCCAATGCGAGATAGACAAGTCCGGTTGCAGAAGGTGCAGCAGAAAGACTCCCCAGGTGATATTGACGAGATGTGATTCTTTCTGTGTTGTCTTTTCTCCTCCAGAGTGATCCTGTGTGTGTTCTCAGAGGCAGCAGCAGCGTTATAGATGGTGTGTCTCCAGGCCTCTCGACTGGAGGCCAGGGTAGACCAATGGTGGAGATCAATATTGCCAAGGCTGAGGGATTGTTTCAGGCAGTCCTTGTATCTCCTCTTCGGGGCTCCTCTCTCACTGCAGCCAGTGGCAAGTTCCCCACAGAGCACAATCTTAGGGAGGCAGTGGTCCTGCATCCTGGAGATGTGCCCTGCCCAGCACAGCTGAGTTCTCAGCAGCATGGCCTCAATGCTCGTGACTGCTGCCTGTTCGAGGACAGACGTGTTGGTCACATATTCAGTCCAGTGGATGTTGAGGATTGTACGGAGGCAGCGCTGATGGAAGCGTTCTAAGAGATGCAAGTAGAGACGAGGAACTTGGGAGCTCTGTGCACTAAAGCAGACTTCTTACACCCTCAAGAGCCGTGAGAGTATCCACACGTCTCCTTCGCCTGCAGGCAGAGCCATGGAATTCACCACGGAGCTCCCCGAGCGCTGCGGACCTTCCTGCTGAGACCGCTTTTCAGGAGCACTGGATTCGGTAGGTTTGAAATAATAAAAAGCCTAAAATTAACATGTTTAAACTTGAATGAGGTGCAGGAGTGCTTTCCTGGAGGGAGTGGCTGTCCTTTGGGATATCTGAACTCCCTTTCCGTGTTTGTAGCCCGTGGAAATGGAGTTGTGCACTCCCATTTGCCAGGTGCTGAAAGCACAGGCACATAACCCAGCAGCAGAATTAGCAAGAGGGGAAAAGACATTCTGTGATAAATAAACTCCAAATAAACTGGTTACGGATCTAGAAAAGTGGGGTTTCACCCAAGCCCCCTTCCCAGAGCAAAAAAAAAATCCTTAAAACTGTCCCTCAGTAACAGTGGTAAATGGGAATGACAGATCCCCCGGCAGGAACGGGGGCTGTTTCTGACGGGATCCCGGTGCTGGCAAGTTGTAAGCCTCGATTCCTTGCTCCTGGCTGCTCCCCTGCTCCAGAGCTGCCACGGGGGAGCGTGGGGGAGGCAGAGCCAGGCTGGGAGGGGAGGAGGCCCAGCTGTGACAATCGTGTGACATTCCAACCCCTGCCTTGCTGCCCGTGCTCCTCTGGTGGGTCCTGCCAGCACGGCAGATGGCAAGCACTGAAAGGTTCTTGTGCCAGTGGAAAATTCCCGTGTTTTGTTGGTCCTGTGCGTGTGTGAGGGGGGAAGTGGGGCAAGCTTCCACTTACTTTATTATTTTCAAGAAAGAAACGGTTCCCTTAGGCTGCAAAAGCTGCTGGCCTTTCAGAACGGGCCGCTTCGTTTACAGGTCTGGTGACATTCTAAGCGTTCTTTGTAATTCCACATAACTTTCCTCAGAAGTCAGGACGCCCAGTTTTCTAAACGGGGGTACAATTAAAAAGAGAAACAACGTTGCAATATCAGCGCCGGTTGTTTGCTTGGGAGACCTATGGGAAAACCCAGGTATTGCATGCTTCTGTTTTCCGGGTGGCTGTACGAGTGTTTATGGCAGTGGGCTTTCCACTGCACAACAGACGTGGTTCGTTTTAATTCCCTAACTTTATGGGTGTTTTTGAACATAGTTATACACACATGTTATGTAATTAGAAGAGGTATTACACTTTAGGCTCTGCAGAAGCATGAGTGCCTCTTGTCAAATTCCACTGGAGCCTTCAAAAAACTTCGGGGAAAGTCAGAGGCAAAGCAAAACAATGTTGGCCTCGTTACTGTAGTTCAAAGGAGGGATCTCTTGTCACTCAAAGGACATTTGGGTGAGGTTTTGACATTTCTTTCTTTGCAGTCAGTTGGTGGAACAAATCCGAATTGCCACTGCTGGAGGTGCCTCTTGGAAAGATTCTGAGGGGGGGTTAACCCTGAAAGCTCCTTCTCAGCGTCAGAAAGAACCTAAAAATGTTTCACTCACAAGTAGTTTGCATCCAGCTACTTAATCAGCGTAACCTTTAGGAATCAATTCTGACTTTCCTTTCTTACTTTCTCACTGTTTTTTTTTCTAATACAATCCAGGTGTATTTCTTCAGAATCAGCCAAAAAAATTCCAAAACTTTTAGGACTTGTCCAGGAAATACTACAGAGCTAGATAAGGGCAAGCCATTCAGAACCATTCCCACAGATTTTCCTGTGTCTTATGACTTTTTTAGCTGCTGTTGGTCCTATTTTTAGTCCAGATTTTCCTTGTAAACTCCCCTGATTTGCCTGAATAACAGAAGTATATGGGTTTGATATTTAATAGGTAGAATTCAAGGGGGAAAAAAAGCAAATTATTTTATTTGTTTTAAGGCACTTAACATGCTGTTACACATCTCTGACAAAGATTTCACACCTGGAGATCTTTAATTGCTTTATTCCAGTGGGGCAAAGGAGTGAAAAAAAACACAAACAGTTACAGAGTTAAACAGTGTCAGAAAGTAAGTCAAGTTTTTATAACGAGGTGCCTTTTGAAGGCATTTGTGATCACCCAGCTCTGTTTCATCCAGGCAGCCACAGCCACTTCTACGTCCACACCCCCTCTTAGAAAGGTCTGGTTTCTAATTCCCGAAATCCCAGAGAATTTTCCTTATATGAATAGAGTCTGTGTCACAGGGAAACCGTTTATACTTCCATATGTGGAGTCTCAGGAACAAAGCAACTCCTTCAGCTCCACAAAATCCAGGAAATCACTCCAGTCACCTCACAGGCTCTCAATTTGTATCCTGAATGTCCCAAACCCAACATTTTGCCAATTTTCAGCACCATTTAAATCACTTCTTTCCTATGTAAGTAGTATTATTTTATTTCTTTAATTTTTTTTTTTAGTGGGTATTTCTGGCTCGGCTGTGACTTTTGCAGGCAGTTTGGAACCCACAGCGTGGTTTTTCCTGGCACAGGAATGCCAAATTCCTCAAGGTGGAGTTCAGGATGTGACAAATTCGACGTGTTTTCTAAAGCAATTCAAGTATTTATAGCTGAGCTCACTTAAACAGAGTCATCTCTTCAAATATTACCCCTGGATTCTCTTTGGAGAAAATCCTTGCTGGACTTAAAAGTACGGGAGCTTTTCCCATGAACAAAGAAACATGGAAAGCCTAGTAAGAACTATTTTTAATCACTGAAGAAGCTCAATATTCTTCCTCAGTTAGCATGGCCAGCATTGTCCTTTATTTAAAATTCCAGGGAAAAATGAAGCTGACAATCTTTCCAGTCAATCCCAGGGAGACAAAATGAGATATTTAACAAAAACACTCACATTTTCCAGACATTTTAGGCTTAGTTAATATCTTTGATCTGTCCTTACACTGTTTCAGGAGTGAGCAGATGCTTTTTTCCTCTTAGTGAAGATTCTCTCCTAAATCCATTGTTTTTTCCCATTATCCCCAGACAAGGCAGATCATCTGTGTCTTGCAAGCTTATCCACAGTCTGTCTCCTTACCCAATGTTTGCTTCCTGCCTGGCTTTGCCACATCCCTTTCTAGTTCATCTCTTCTGGCTGACATAAAGCTCCTAAAATAAATTAG